GACAGAACTCCGACCAGAACAAGCTGGATTCAGGAAAGGCAAATCATGTTCCGACCAAACTGCAACTCTACGCATCATCATCACAGAACAAAGCATGGAATGGCGATCAAACCTCTACCTCAACTTTATAGACTTTGAGAAGGCCTTCGACAGCGTTGACCGTGAAGTAATTTGGAAATTACTCGAGTACTACGGCGTACCCCAAATATTCATCAACCTTATTCAACAGCTGTACGACAATGGCACATGTCAAGTGGTCCACAACGGAAAACTCAGAGAGGCGTTTGGAGTAAACACAGGAGTCAGACAAGGGTGCTTACTATCACCAATGATATTCCTAATTGTGGTGGACTGACTGGATTATGCGTCAGACAGTGAGTGGGAAACGAGAAGACAGGAATATCCTGAACCGACGCGAAGAACCTAGAAGACCTGGATTTCACCCGTGGATGATTTATGTTTGATGTCACACACAATCGAAGACTTACAAGCGAAAACCGACAAAGTGGTCGAAGAATCAGCCGGTGAAGACAGGACTCCAGGTAAACATAGACAAGACGGAGGTTATGAAAATAACCAGCCAACAACAACAGCAGCAGCAATCCAGCGGCAATCACCATCAACGGGAGGGATTTGAAAGAGGTTACTTCATTCACTTATCTAGGGAGCATTGTCTCAACTACACGAGGAGCTGATGAGGATGTCAAATCGAGCGAGAATCGGGAAGGCGAGAAACACATTTATCAACCTGAAATCAATCTGGAAATCTTCGTCACTCACGCATCATCAACAAAATTCGGTCGGATTTTCAATACAAACGTAAAGTCATTTCTTCTATACGGATCAGAAACTTGGAGGGCGGGTGGGTCACAAAGAATATTTCCAACAGCCTGTTGCAGACCTTCATCAACTAACAACTGTCTTCACTGGTTCTATACTGAAGATCAGATGGCCGGGCCGGAAAGAATCACCAACAAGGAATTATGGGAACAAACAATGCAAGAACCAATCGCCAGTCAACAAATATGCAGGAGAAAGTGGAGATGGATCGGACAGTCGCTCGCTGAGGAGACCGCTGGGTGACATCGCGCGTCAAGCCCTCCAGTAGAACCCGAAAGAGAAGCGGCGTGTGGGACGTCCAAGGGTGACATGGAGTAGATCGTGTGAAGAGGAGTTGAAAGAATATGGACTAACATGGATGCAGGTGTAAAGCACAGCAGAAGGAAGACAGAAGCAAATGGAGACGTGCAGTTGAAGCCCTATGTTCCACTAGGAACCCAAGGGAGCAATAATAATAATCGCATACGCCAAACATAAGTTTCAATTGTTGGCTGCAGAACATGTGGGATTATTGTCCAACTTTATAATTATTTGACGCAAACAAAACCCCGTGGAGCTAAGAACTACTACACCACACAGTGATTAATAGCAGTTTTATCAAAGATCGCCAGGCATTGTGAAGCACATAAGCCAAAACACTGGTAAAGTTATTCCACCACAAAACATTTTTAATTGAGTAACAACTCCCGTTGAAACATTGGGGACAAGACATTCGAACGTATGTAATATTTTAACAAAATTCATCTGGTGTGGAAGCTTAAATAATAGGTGACAACAATAATGAAAGTAGAAAATAAAACTGTGGTGATAAGTAAGTGTACTACCCTCATAGTTATTTTTATTTCAGTGTCACAAATAAAAACAGAGGGACAAAAAGTAGATTATTTAATGTCCCAAATTATTCATGGAAAGTTTGTAACTTTGAAGCATGTCTACAGTAGGTAAGAGCTCCGAACGAATAAAACATTATGCAGTAATGCAGGACACTTTGGTTAGAATAAAATGAAATATCAAACTAAACATAATACTGGTAACAATCATAACGATATAAAGAAGCACAGAAATCCACTGAATAAAGAGGGTAAATCTGTGGACGCAATGAAAATAATGATTGTACACAGGGATTTAGTTTAAGTTGATGGATAACCAAGGCCTTCGATACTTCAGAAAGTAGAAAATGAGGATAATTTTGGTTAGCTTAAGAAACTATCTTGATGTTTATGGCAAGATTACCTAAAGAACAAGGGTCATCCAAACACTTTAAACAATAACTTCCGAAATTCATTGTTTTAAATTTCTCATGGGTTTTGTTGAATATTCTCTTGTGTGTATTTCAAAAGTATCCCCTGTCTACTATCAGCGTATCTTGTTTTGGTCATCCTAGTGCCATCGAGAGTCAGATTTTTTGTTTACTAGACCATGAGTCACACTCAAATTATGAGAATGTGTGCTAATACAAAGTTAGTTAAACCAATGTTAAAACATATTTTTGATGCAAAAATCTGATTAAACTAGTAGTCTAAAATGAATCTGTTTTAATACTAAATATATAAACTTTAAAATTGGAATCACATTTGTGTACGAACTTTTGTCATGCAGTCAAAATAGCACTTTTAGTCAATTGTTTTTGTGTTTGCTCAAGCAAATGTGGATATTCTATTCGTCACTATTTTCTCAAAATTGCTTTTTACTTTTAAGTGAGAGCTAGCGACTGACAACTTTTCTGAATATTAGTGTAAGATCAATTCAATTTCCATCCTTGAATCAAGTCAACCTGTCCTGGATCAGCCTAGCGTTGTTGCAACCCAATTATCCATATATAACCTGTCTATCCCCCTTGTTTAACGAACTGTGTGTGTTTTTACACCGATCCGTTCAGTCAGACCGTTGAACTCATGACCCAATCAGAGTATTTTGTGAACTGTTATTTTTGCTGACCCATGTCTTACTTTGTACTATTCTGTCGACTTTATCTTATTTATTGATCTTCATCTGTATCTTCCTACCTGGTTAAGTAGCCAATTGAATTCTCTTTTAGCCTTTGCTCTGTTTATCTATTAACCTGCCTTGCTTGGGTTCATCCTTCTACTAACTGCTTACCTGAACGGTCGCGTCTGATTCCGCCTAGTTCGCAATTTTGCCTTTAACGTTATTCCGCTCTGATAGCGGTACCTTGTTTTCTGTTAAGCATTGTGCTTTGTACTCTTGAAACCGTTAAGGTTTGTTGTATATATAATTATTGATTTGTTTATTAATAGTACCGTAGAAACAGTGACCGGCTTCTTGTTTGCTCTGGACCGGGAAAGCCTTTATGTTCGCGTGACTTAATTTCAAGCGATATTGCGCTTACAATTAGTTTTCGCTTTTTTGATTTCCGTCAGCTTTGGGACTTCATAGCCAGGTGAGAATTCTTTGGAGGTTCAATAGTTATATTTATAAACAAAATAATTTGACTTATGTGATTGATTGCTTAATGATATAAACTTCAAGACCACCTCAGAGCCGTAAGATTTGAGTGACTTATAATCACGATTCTACTAAACTAATATTTTAAACCAGCAGTTTAGTCGAAGATGTTGTGTGTCAGAGCTACACATATTTTTTCTCTCAGCATACCCATAACAGGATACGATCCTCAAATACATTTTAGAAACAGATTATGACTGAGCCAGGTTTTCCTTCATATTTTTTTAGTCTGAAAGTGAAATTAAGTTAGTGACTCCGAATAAATGTGAATATTCGCGTGTGGGTTAAGGTTGAAATTTTCTTGTCTTTTGTCACTATTAAATGAATAATTCCCACCCAGACACAAAGTAAAAATTTCAGCGAAGAAAACTCTCCTTTGACTTTTTCATTTTCATAGCTGCACAAACGTATTTATCTACATATTACAATATGTAATAACAATCCACTTCACACACGTCTATTGAATTTCAATAATACGTCTAATCAGTTTGTGACTGATGATTGTACATACAAATATCATCACACTTTAATGTTTTCGTTCACTGCCAAACTTTAACATACAAGAAAACTGGTTGTTATTGTCTGTTGTAATATATATATATATATATATATATATATATATATATATATATATACGATTGTGCAGCTATGAAAATGAAATCGTCTAAAAGAGAATTTTCTTTTTGGCCTTTGTCATTACCTACATACTAAGACATTCAACTCAATAATTTGCTAGCTTAATTCATGTGTGTGGCAGCACACACTTGACAAATAAGCGCTTGACAACCCCTGAAAATCAAGATGTTAGTGTGATTGAATTCGTGAACAAATTTTTCTAAAGTAACACGCTATGTTAAGGGAACGATAGCAAACTACGGAAAGCCTTGTAAATATAAATATATAAATAACATCCACGGGATATATACCATTACGAACACTGTAATAAACGTTGCAACATTCCGCGTTTGCCAGTTAAGAGTTTGTATATTCGAGCAATACTGCCTCAGAAAATTCTCATTTATTTTTAATCTACTCTTAGTAGCAGTTTTGTAACCTACGAGTTAAAATCAACCACCCAAATAACATGTAAAAATAGGCATAGTTTCATTAATCTCTGGGCTGAAATGAGCAAAGTATAATGTTAGTGAGATCAGTTAAGAAAAGAAGCTTCTATTTGATATGAAGAAGGTAGAACGAACAGTTCCGAACACAGATGAATTAGTACTATATGCTGTGTTACTTCATGCATGAAAACATGGCAACAGTAAAGAAGTCATAAGATAAATCTGGGTGAAACTTGCAACGAAGTTCATGAACCGCATCCATTTAGAATGATGAACGATCTGGATGGTTGCTTCAAGGTCATTTGACTTTGGTGTCTATTGTTTACTCTTGCGGAAAACATTATAAAATGCCTAACCGCAAAATTAAGGCTAGTTTCAGGAAAACTCATTCATTATTGAGCATAAATATTGATAAAACACGATACGTAAACACTATCTTGCATGTACAATAAGTGACTTAGTATTAATTTATATATTAGTATCTGGACTTACGTTATTTAGATGATAAGAAATGTTTTCAAAACAAAATTTTATTTGTGTTCAGAGAGAAAAAATGCTTTAAGTTTTGCATCTAATCAAAAATTTTGTCTGAGTTCCTTCAAAAGTTCGACATAGGAAGTCATTGTCATTTCAATATCTAAATATAAGGCCACGATTTTCCAAAGGAGGTTCCCAAACAGAGTCTCTAGTTGCATACTCAAACACTGGAAAACTAGTGCAGCTTAATGGCGTCCCAATATAACTTTTAGCCTCCAAATACATGCCTAAAGGGAAACTAATTAACTAACCAAATAAATGAATCACCAAGTGAATTTCGAGGAGGTAACCTAATTGTCCGTTTGTAATTTGGATCTTCAAGATTAAGGAGTTCACGAATATGTTTGGTCAAAATCTGAAATACAGTTTATCATTATGCATTTCTACATAGGGTACTTTAATATCATCCCACTTAGTGATTCCCATTTTAGGAAGTGCTGAAGCTTCAATTTTTATCAGTTGCTTACCATCAATATTGTTGACTCTGAAACATTCCTTTTTAAACGGACTATTAACTTTAATTTTTTTGTTTTACCGTATACTGTGGAAAACCAATATCCCTAATCCAGTTGGCTACTTCACTAACGGTCCATTCAACTGCCGTAGGAACTGATTTGTGTGTGAAACTTTTGGAGCAGTCAGCAAGTTTGGATACTACTGGGTGAATTTCAGTTTGTATATATGGCAAATGGAAGGGTTTCCTTTCAGTAGTGAAGCCTGAGTATGTTTTCGTGACATTCAAATTAGTGTCGGCTTGTGACCTAAACTCATAGCTCATTATCGCGAGTAAGAAGTTGGTTTAGAAACAGTCTCCAATCAATTTTCAATTTAAATTTCTCAGAACTTATATAATTACCTGTATATGGGACTCAACCTTCTCTCTATAGCAGCATGTTATCAACTCTGCCAATTTTTTTTTCATGATTTTTGTCCTATCAATATTAATTAGGATTATTATTTCTTTGGGTCCAAATTCAGATTATAAGGATAGAAAGCTACTGTTGCCTATGTTAATCCTCGAGATATATATATCTGCAGAGATCCAATTTCTCTTTGAAAGCGTTCACAGACGAAGCTGTTACTAGGGAATCAAGTAAGGAGTTTTAGTCGTTGGCTACCCTGCGAGAGAATATAAATTCCATACGTATTTTATTCAACATAGGATTAAGCAGCTTCTTGTGGTGATCTCATAAATGTATCCAATAGCGAGAGAAAAAATCTGGAAGTTCAATGCCTGAATCACCCTTTAAGCTACGGTATGCCAAAATTAAGCCGTCTCTACTCCTTCATTATGATAATGGGAAGAGATTTAAATGCTCCACCCCCTCATCAAGAAGAATGCATGAGATACCACTCACTGATTTGTTTCCTACCCGCTGTACTATTTCCATGATGAGTGCCTCCTTTTTGAAACATGAACTCACCGCTTGTACGCAGTATTCTAGGTTAGATCTGACATATATTATATTTTATTTTTGATTACAGCTTGATTCCACACTGTATTTTTGGTACAAGTATGGAATTTTCGGCATGGATATCGTTAGCCCAAATTTGCACACCAACCATAGATATCAGGTGTTAGTCGGCAGGAACATGGAACATCCAATAGTTCATTTAGGTATGACCAAAATATTAAGGGGCCAAGTACAGTTCCGGAACTGCTCGAATTAGAATTGCTTCCCATCCTAACAGCACATAATCAACGTTATGCCAATGTAGTTGAAGACTGAACGATCAATTCATGGTTGTATGCTCAAACCCAACTCCTCCATATTTTTCGTAGGGCTGGTTAATCCGAAAGTTATCATCTCATCGTTCGCTGTTAGGTGGAAATCGATAACTATCAGAAATCTTACATAATAACCTTATTGTTGGTTACATATTGGCGAAAGAATAAAGGATTCTCGAGTCAACAATCAGTGTTCTGGTTTTCTCGTTGGTTAATACAAATTGTTTCTGAAAGTCTTCGAGGGACAGCTTGAGGTCCAGCATAGTAAGAGCTGGACATCGACAGTTTATGTTAGTTGACTGACAGTTTCTGATAGTTTCTGTTCGTCTTTCCTGGTGCCTGCAAGCCCGGTACGTTCGAATCAGGTGACGCTTTTGCACGTGTTTTCGTTTATATTCATTTATTGGTTACTAATAATTGATCTTTAATAACGATGGTTCAAAATTCTAAAAAGCGTGTTCGTGTGAACACCAGTAATTTAGAAAATAGCACCGGCTCGTCTAATAACACATTACCACCCCATATTATTAGTAGTTCACCCAACATAAAAGACTCGAACATAACTCTGACCCCTGTAATACAGGTGGAAGATGTTCTGTCTGAAAAAGTAGAGCTCTCTTACTTAACCTGCGTAATTAAAGAGATGCAGCTACAGATAGATGAATTAAAAACGAAATTAAGTTCACTAGAATGTATACCCGAAACTATCTCACGTATGAAAAAGGAACTGCAGGATCCTACAATCCTAAAGCTTTTTAATATGACCTCTAGAATGACTCATACTGACTCAGAAAGTGCGAAGGAGTTAGAAAACGCCATCGACTTTCTATCCAGCGAAGTTGTTAGAAGGCTGGCTTCAAAACAAAACGCAATAGTGTATAATGTACCGGATAGCGAGCCCATAAAGTCAGTCCAGCACTCATTGCTGAAGGCTGCAAATCTCTTGAATGCACCTTGTCAGTGCATTCGCCTAAGCAAAAAAGACCTAAAGCATCCTTGTCCTATACTCTTTAGGTTCGACAGCTACATAACAGCTGAACGATTTAAGATGGCCGAAGATCTTCTGGCTACTGCCACTAAATTCAAGACTATTAAAGTAGTCTCGGATAAAACACCAAACCAAAGGCAAGCAACCAAGAACTCCTTCGACACAAAGTTGACAACACTGAGAAATACATCTGGTATCAGTGCTAAAGTGTCGACGGACACTGAAGCACAGCAAGTCACGTGTATAGTGTTAGGAGAAAAAACGGCAAGTAAGAGCGACCCAAAACTCAGTAAGAGCAGTGCCACTGGGTGCAATCTTAGAGTGCACGAGAGCACATCTCGAAAACCTGCTGACCTACATAAGGTTGACATAGACGCACAAACTATGGCTGACCAGAAACTACTGGCAGACCACTCTCAATCTGGATCCAAGCCAGAGAGTCCCTCAGTAGAAACCGCAAAAAAGACCACAAAACCCAGAGTCCCACCCCAGACTTCGACATACCTCCCTCGTAATAAGTCTAATAAGCAGCGTGTCAGTCTAAAAAATGACAAAGCATGGGTAACGAAGCACATTCCCAAAGACGTCACGCAGCATGTGAGAAGGAATACCCCTTCCCGAACTAGAAGTAACATGCCTAACAACGCACATAACTTGGGAATGCAACGTAGAATGGATCCTCAGGATATATGGAGCACTAAACGGGACTCATATAGGCACCATATTAACGAAAATCCTCGTCCAAACTCTCGCACTATCTATGTTAAACCTCATCAACTTAATGAGAACAGGTCGGCACTTGATCCCCTCAATAACTTCACTCACAAACGTGACGTGAGCCAATATGCATATGGCTATGAAAGCCCCATGAGGTACAACTACCAGGGTAATCTTAACACAGGGTACCTAGGTCCAGCAAACTACAACCCAAATTGCAGGGCAGACCATATATCACCAGTAGATCAACGCAGATGCCGACCCATGGATGCTAATAGTCAAAATATGCAACAGGATTATTTTCGGCTGCAGCAAACAATAGCCCCACTCGCTGCACAGTTCATCCAGGAAATAGTACACACACTGACTCTGTCTCACCTCAGAGCCCCTCCAAACATAACGTAGGGATAGTGACAAGTAACCATGTTAACCTCTCCTCCAATAACTCTGGTTTACTAACAATTATGCTCCTGAATGCTAGATCTCTCCTTAATAAAATAACAACGCTTCGCTGCCTGGCATACATAGAACGGCCAACACTAATAATGGTGACTGAAACCTGGCTTACTACTGATATACCTGACACAAAGCTGGTAATAGACAACTACGACATCTATAGGAACGATAGAGTTGACAAAAGAGGAGGTGGTTGCTTAATATATGCCTATAAATCCACTAACTCCAATACTTTCAATAACCCAAATACTGACAAACTCCCAGAATCTAAGTGGATAAGCATCCACACAAACGAAAGTAAAATTCTCGTGGGATGTATATACAGACCCCCCAATAGCCCTGAAATGACTGATATAACTATTGCAGAAATACTAGAGCATGTAGCTACGCTGGACTTCGACTTCAAAGTAGTATGTGGAGATTTCAACTTACCTGGAGTAAACTGGGATACCTGTACAGGACCAAGAATCCATGAAGAGCTACTACAAGCTATAGACATAGGAGGATGGAAGCAGTGCGTGCGCCTCCCTACAAGGAACCAAAATACTCTTGACTTAATCCTCTGTCATAACATAGAGCCCATCTCGATAGAGGTGGGAAATAAACTCGATAACAGTGATCACAACATATTGTACTGCACGCTACCCCTCCGACTAACAACTAAATACACACCTAAAAATTCCCCGGTGCGCTATCAATATAGGGACTATAAGAATGCTGATTGGGAATTCCTATCAGATCTGTTGAGAAGTTCTGACTGGGAAGAATACTTCATCAACAATAACTTAGAAGCATCACTTGAGATTTTCTACAAAACAGTTGGCTCAGCAAGAGACACAATCGCGCCCCTAAAATCTGCCCTAAAGACACCAACTCCATTTATTGACCGGAAAACGCGACTAAAACTAAAGAAATTGAAAAGGAAATACCATGTATTTAAGGAATTTAATGCGTTAAACCAAATACATGAAACTCTTAAACTGCTTGAAGAGAAACACAAAATGAAGTCACAACATGAGGAAAATAAAGCGCTAATGGGTAACACCAAAACTCAGGAACTTTGTAGGATATTGCAAAAACGTCTAAAAAGCAGTAAAGACAATAATGTAAGCATCTTGGAACATAGGGGTGTAATATACAACGATCCCCAGGTAATAAGTGAACTCCTCAGTGAGTGGTTTTGCAATGACACCAGAGTGCACTCGACCCCAAATTTCCAAATGACCTGCAAAAGTAACCACAAATTAGGAGAAATAGATTTTAATATGCAAAATATAGACTCAGCGATTAAGACATTGAAGTCAAATGGCAGTACTGGAACAGACGACATACCATCTGTCATATACAAAAATGGTAGCACGGAAATGGTAGTCTTGTTACTTAGAATATTTACTCTGTCACTGGAAACTGGAACTTATCCTGAAGTGTGGAAAACCACATACATACTACCTAAGCACAAAGCAGGGGCCAAAACCAGTGCATGCAACTATAGACCTATTAATATAACACCGGTAATATCACGAATAATGGAGAAAGTGGTTAAAGACCAAGTGTCAGACAACTTACTAGAACATGAACTTATCAACCCATCACAACACGGATTCCTCAAAAAGAGATCATGTGCGACCTGTCACATAGACTTTTTCAATGAAGTTACACGAAGCAGGGACAACAGAGAACTAGTAATTGTGCTATACTTCGATATAACAAAAGCCTTCGATAGAGTCCCCCATAATCTGCTAGTCAGCAGGTTATGCTCACTAGGGATATGTGACCCTCTCCTGAGCTGGATAAAATCATTTCTCCGTGACAGGAATCAGATAACAAAAGTTGGCTCGATAATCTCAAGGCCAAAACCTGTAAGTAGTGGTGTAATCCAGGGAAGTGT